GGCAGCTAAGCAGTGGACGAGTATCTCGCTACTGGTTGCAAGACGTTGCATTCTCCGGGAGTGGCTGTCACACAATCCCCCCACTATGAAGATATTTAGGGCTGATTTACTGAATCTATTCCATCTGGAAAGGTTGGACGCGGCCACGAACTCGCATAACGAGAAAGGGGTAACCACTTTTTACACCAGGTGGATGCCTTATATGTCCTATGTCTTCTCCCCCTCTGAGAGGGAGGAAATGCTCTCCCCCTTCGAATTCTCAACAGTACGTTTGTTAGACAACTTACAAAGAGGATGTTAGTTAGCCGAGTCATCGAGCACAATGCAAGCTAATGCTGCAGGATACCTGTTACGCCAACAACATACTTCAATGAGTCCACAGCTTTTACTTAAGTAGAGATGGAGCAAATGTTATGGTTGTTATGGTTGTTATGGTTGCTATGGTTGTTTTAGATTTAATAAATCCGTTCAATGGTGAAACTGTATGTGATTATCTATCATCCACACATGTCCCGTATGGGGTACTACATGACTCATCCAAACCTTTTTGAATTGTGATGTATAGTCTTACATGAAGTGTCCTCACATTATTGCACTGCAATACTGTATTCTTATAGTGTTTCACTGAGGTAATTTTCTTTTGAAAATCAATAAAAATGTTTTGAAAAAAAAAAAAAACATCCCATGTGAGTAATGACTTTAAAAACATACAGGAATTCCTGATGCATCTTTCTTACTACATGTAATCCTAATGTCTGGTTCATCACTTTCGATTGACACAGCTGTTAGAAAGATCAATCTAAAGTATAAGGAGGTATTCCTACCTAAATTCCATACAGCTTTACTACCTGAATTCCATAAAGCCGAAGCGATCTGTAATCGACAAGCTGTAATAGTGTGTTTCCACATAAGTGATACAGATTAACGACAAAGGATGTGCTTGTTGGTTTAATTACAAACATCTCGCTGTGACTACACCACATACAAAAGAAATTTCCTAATTGGTTTGTGATACCAAGGAACGAAGAAATACTTCAAGTGGAGTCTGCAGACATGAATTTATATGAATTACACCAGTCTTATTACACTCACCATAAGTGTTTACCAATCATTTCGATCTAATACAACCAGCTTGTTTCATTATCTGCTGTTCACCTTGTTGCATTATACTCATTAACCTGAGTTAGTTCATGATGCTACCAATTGTGCGGCTACACTAGGTCCTGTTATGTCATCGCATATGAATTGTGATTTAATTTCATGTGGATTATCCATCCTATTTATGTGTGTCTTGAAGTCTGCAGACGATGTGTGTATTTTAATTCTACTGGTTATGGACGGTGGTCTCTTTACCATTCTTTTTGATAGTTTTGATATTTGTGTACAATAAAATACATTTAACCAGTTGACATCCGCGGTGTTAAACCCCCTTCCCATCTATGCCATTTTTCAGTATTCAGCGCTGCGGTACTTTGACTGACATTTATTCCGTCATGCAACGCAACATTATTGCTCTCACTGCAACGTTCGCGGCGATATGTAACGTGTGTAGCGCAATTGTCGTTTTCGCGCGCTGGTGCACCGGACGCATATTTACGTTTACATGTGCGTAAACGTGGGGGAGTTAAACATTTTGTGGGGGGGGGTTACTTTTTTTATATGTGACTTTTATTTTTT